CACTCTCCTTCTCTCCCTCTCGGGCTCCAGCTTCAAAGACACTTGTTGGAAAACATTTCTGCTCTTGCCAGATGGTCACTCTGGGGCCTCCTGTCCCCAAGCAGATCTCTGGCTCTCTGTGGCCTTTCTGACAGCGCTGCCCTCAGGTGGGCCCCACCCAGACCCCTCACTCTCTGGGGCAAACCCAGCGGGGTCTAGCTGAGGACTCCAGCCACCCAGATCGCCTGGGAGCAACTAGCCCCGGGCTAGGGGCTGAGGGCAAGGTCCACAGGTGGCCAGGGCCTGGCCTTGAACTCCTTCTAGCCGGGGCACATGCTGGTGGGGGGAGGGGCCGGGTGGGGGCTCTGTGGCTGCCCTCTTTGGATTCTTCTTATCTGCTTGTGACGTCACCAGTCACAGCTGTCGTTGTTCCGGGTCGCAGCCTCTTGGGCACAATCTCCATGCCCTTCCCCTTTCACCAGCAGGAGTGAAAGCTTCCAGGGGTGGGGTCGAGGGCAGTGCCCAAGGTCATGGCTAGGGAGCGGGGAGCCAGGATCTGATCTGTCTCACCCAGAGCTTGGGAAGGCCCCGGGGGGCGGGGGGGGCTGTCCTCAGGCTGAACACAGAAGGTCCAAGGATGCTGGCTGGACTCCTGTGGGCGCTGGAAGGATCTGTGGTGTTTCAAGCGCTTGGGCCTTCTGGCAGTTCCTGTCTGGGGTTAAGTCGGGGGCTCCGTGAGAAAGATTGGGAAGGGCCAGGACATCCCATCTGCTGGAGGAACAGCCCTGCTCCCGGGGCCTTGAGGTGGAAAGGTGGCGTCAGTCATCCCACCAACTGCTGGTGGGTGCTTCTGGAGTGCTGCACCAGGCAGGCAAGGCATCCCAGGCCGCCTGGGCTTCGGGTAGCCTTGGCAGCACGCCTGCCCACCTCCCCTGGGGGTCTGGGGGCTCGGGAGGGAGGGCAGCAGCCAGAGGTGTATGCGCAGGTCCCAGGGCCAGTGCCAGGGACACCTGCTTCAGGCTTTGGGATCCTGACTCCCGAGGGGCAGCTCCTGAGCCCTGCGGCTGGTGGAGGGGCACTCGGGTTAGGTGGGCTTTCGGCGCAGTGGGGCTGGTGCTCAGGACGGGGTGCTGCTGTAGGCCGGCCAAGGGCACGGCCACCTCTTCCAGTCCTTCGGGCGTTGGGTGACATCCACAGAGCCTCGGGGAAGGGAGACAGACAGGTTTGCTTTTGCAATCCTGGAATGCCATCTCGCAATCCTGGGTCTTCACCCCACCCCACCTCCAGGGTGCCCTTTGCCTGGCAGTTTTCCTGTGTTTTCCAAAAACCAGGTAAGGAGGTGGTTCCGGCCCATCCTGGGTTCCCTGCTGCGTGACCTTGGGCAAGTCACTTCCACTTAGCCTAGACCACCTCTGAGTGTCCCACCCCATGGGTTCGCTACCTGAGCCAAACAGGAGGCTTCCTGTCACGCCCTGGCCCAAGGCAGGTGCTGTGCGCGCCTGGACGGTGGGCCTGGGTGGCGGGCCTGGGTGCTGGGCCGTGCGCTCTGCTTTCCCGGGCAGGGACCCCTCCCTGGCTTTCTCTCCCTGGAGCTGCTGCAGAGCCTGGCTGGCCGCCTTCTGCATTGAGAAAACTGAAAACAATAGACGTCGTCACCACTTTCACAAAAAACCTTGATACTATGTGGCATCGGGAAGAGGACAGGGGGACAGGCATCCACGTGCGACCGGCACCTGTCCTGTGGCCCGTCCACTGCCCGTTGCCACAGCAGCAGGTGCACACGCTTGTCCCCCTGGAGGCCGCTAGCCGAGGTCTGTGAGCAGCATCTCCCTCGGTTCCAGAAACCCCATCTGTGGTCAGTCCCTACATTACGTGCACCAAGAAGTGCAGTAGGAGGGAAGAGTCCTGGACACAGAGGGTGGGGACAGTCGCACAGCACCGAGGGGGCATTTCATGCTACTGAACCGGATGTTTAAAATGATGGGGGCACCTGGACGGCTCCGTCGGTGAAGTGTGAAGCGTCTGCCTCGGGCTCAGGTCGTGATCCTGGGGTCCTGGGATCGAGCCCCACGTCCGGCTCTCTGCTCAGCAGGGACCTCTCATGCTCTCTCTGCCTCTCTCTCAAATAAAATGTTTTAAAAATGATTAAAATGATAAATTTTATGTGACCTGTATTTTGCCACAATTTCGAAAGAGGAAGAGAAGCCTGCAGACGCCTCCAGCAGAGAGAACGCGGTCCGCGTGCGGATGTGGCCGGGGTTCTCCGCGGCCGGCGGGGGCGCTCGCTGCCAGCACCTGCAGCACGTGCGTCCCGGTCTCCCCGTGTCTGCCCTGGTCGGATCCGATCGCCACCTCGCCTCTCCTTAGCGGGGGACGTTCACATGGTCTCGGACTTTTCTTTTTTTTGAAAGATTTTATTTCTGAGTAATCCCTGCAACCTCATGTGGGGCTCAAACTCAAAACCCTGAGATCAAGAGTGGCAGACGGAGGCCCTCCGGGTCTTCGAACCAGACCACACTCGAGGGCTGCAGGCCTACCTCTTGCCGCTGGCTGTCTTCGCGTCAGACCCCGGGAGAGGGACCAGATTTCTTTTCTTCTTTCTTCCTTTCCTTCCCTTCCCTTTCCCCTTTTCCTTTTTTTTTTTCCTTTGTTTCTTTCTTTCTTGATTTATTTATTTGAGAGAGCACCCACAAGCCCGGGAGGGACTGAGGGAGACGCGGACTCCCCACCGAGCCTGAAGTTTGGGCTCAATCCCATGACCCTGAGGCAAACCAAGAGTGGACGTTCGACCGGCTCCGCCCCCACCCCCGGGCGCTGCAAGACCAGATTCCGCGTGGCTTTGCCCAGGCGCTGCTGGCCTGTCCTCCCCGAGCAGCCGTGTGAGCAGCTGCGGGGCCGTCCCGACATCCTGGCCAACCCCTCGTGGAGTTACTGGCCTTTTCTTCGGTCCGGGCCAACCTGAAGAAAGAAAACGGGGCTCCCGTTTCAATGTGCGTCGCTTTGACTTCTAGTGAGAGGGAAGATTTTCCATGTTTCTTGGACCTTTCTGTCTTTCCCCTGGGTGAAGTGCCCGCCGTGTCCCCTCCGTGTCCCCTCAGTCGTCCTAGTGGTTGACAAGTGGTCTCTGTAGATCAGAAATGGCGCCCGTGGACATGAAGCAGCTGGTCAGCCGCTCAGCCTGCGTCCAGGGCCGGCTGGGACGCAGGTTTCTGAGCGGGAGGGGACAAGGGGGTACGTCTGGCCTGAGCCAGCCAAGACTGTCAGGTCCAGGAAGAAGGATGGCCGGTCTGATCGTGCAGACAGCTGGGGCTTTGTGGCCGCACCTCCCTGAGCCTCAGTGTCCCCGTCCGCAGCATGGGATGGTGGGAGAGCGGCCCTCCCGCGGGAGTCTGTTCTGCAAAAGGGCAGTTGACTTTCAGACCCAGAGGGCAGGTCCCTGGGCTTCCACTCCCAGAAGGCCCGAGAGGAGAGGAGACGGATCCACAGACCCGGGGGGCAGGGCCGGGGGAAGGGGGTCTGTGCGTAACAGGATCGAGTCCAGTCTGGGAAGGGCACGTTCTGCAGGGACGGAGGGGCAGACGGCTCCGTGGGAGCGCGTTGACGTCCCCGAGCTGTGCCCGAAACAGCAGTTCGGAGGGTGCGTTTTAGGGCTCTCCTCTCTCGAGGACTGTCCCCGGGCCTTGGGCAGCTTGTTACTCACCCCTGTGTGTAAAATGGGAAATCGCTCCCTCGCCGTGGGCGCTGTTGAGGGGCTCAGATGCCTGGGGGACTGTGGGGGCTGCCCGAGCCTTCTGTGAGCAGTGCAAGGGTCCTGGGTCCGTGGTGGGTCAGCCCCCACCGGGGACGGGGAGGACCGGGCCCTGCAGGGAGTCACAGGACGCTGAGCCTCGCCCCGCAGGCTGACCCCTACCAGAGGCCGTCCCAGGTAGGGCGCTCGTCCCTGCCGTGTCCTCCAAGGCCGCAGCGCCTGCGGACTCATCCCTGCACCCACAGCCATGCACGCCCACTCTCAAGGTCCCCGATGCCCTAGGGCAGCCCCTACAGGTGCTGCAGTGGGGGTGAGGGTGCCAGCCCAGCGTGGCTACTGCCCTACTGTCCTCATGGGGTGGGCAGGCACGTCCCCTCGTTCCCGAGCAGCCATCAGCCCCTGCGAAGGCCTCCCCTTGATGTGGACACCTTCTTAGCGGTGTGGCCCTGCCCTAAGTTACGTCCCCTGCCAGGTTTTTCTCCCCAGAGCCTACAGGTGGGGGCCCACCTCTGCAGGGAGCAGGGATCCCTCTCTCTCTCTGTTGGGTTTTTATTTTATTATTTAAGATTTTATTTATTTATTTGACAGAGATCAGAGAGGCAGGCAGAGAGAGAGGAGGAAGCAGGCTCCCTGCTGAGCAGAGAACCCAGGACCCTGGGATCATGACCTGAGCCGAAGGCAGAGGCTTTAACCCACTGAGCCACCCAGGCGCCCCTATTTTACTATTTTTTAAAGATTTTTAGTCCTCTCTGCACCCAACATGGCCTCGAGCCTGTGACCCTGAGATCAGGAGTCCCTTGCTCCCTTGACTGAGCCGGTCCGAGCCCTTCCACACAGGGCTTTTTGATGCCCATGCGGCTGAGAACCACACCCAGCCCGGCCCTGGGGGCTCTCAGCCTCCAGTCCCCTTCCAGCTGCCCCTGGTTAAACAAGCAGGGGTGTGGGGTGAGGGCGGGGCCCCACAGCAGGTTCCCCCAAAGCAAATATACAAGAGGACAGCCCCCCCTTTGCCTGGTGCCGAGTCCCCAGAGGCTTCACTCCTGTTCCCGCCAGGGAGACAGGAGGCCCAGCTGCACTCGCTGACCCCTGGAGGGACAGGACCCGAAGGCTCTTGGAGGGGAAGGCGAACTCAGGGTCCCGCCAGCAGCCCGGGAGAGGGCCCGCTGGGCTCCGTCTGCTGTCTGTTCCCGACAGCCCTTCCCGGCTCCCGGCCAGAGCCCAAGATGGGGTGCAGGGCAGGGGGCCCCTGCTCAATGACTTTATCCCCTCTTAGGATCATCAAATGGTTTGTCGTGAAGTTCAAGTATGTGTTCGGCCTTCGTTTCGAGATAAAGGGTCTCCAGAAGCTGGAGGTGGACCACCCCTGTGTCATCATTTCTAACCACCAGAGCATTCTGGACATGATGGGTAAGCCGCGGAGGGGCTGGTGGGAGAGCTGGCCCTTCCTGGCTGCGGGCACAGCCCAGGGCACTGGTCTGGCCTCTGCGGGATGGGGGAAGGGGGACAGGGGGGCTTCAGAGGGGTGGAGCCTGGGCCAGATGACTGGTGGGCAAGGGGGGTCAGCCCAGGCCAGGGGACCAGCGCCTGCCTCCAGCTGCGTGACAAAACTGTGTGTGCCTGAGGCTGGGGACGGGGCTCTGCTGCCCTCGCTCTGGCGGCTGGGAGCTCTGCCTCACCCCTCCCTTTACAGGCGGGAAATAGGCCGAGAGTCCACATGACTTGGCCGGGTAGCCCGTAGGAAGGCATGACCTGGCCCAGGCCTGCTGGTGGTCGAGGCCCAGGGCTGGCTCTCTCCTGCCCGGGGAGGTGGCTGCCTGGCTCTGAGCCCGACCCCCACCTGCCTGGTGTCCCGTGGCCACCTGCAGGCCTGATGGAGGCCCTGCCCGAGCGCTGCGTGCAGATTGCCAAGCGGGAGCTGATCTTCTTGGGGCCCGTCGGTCTGATCATGTACCTCGGGGGCATCTTCTTCATCAACCGGCAGCACTCCAGGACCGCCATGACCGTGATGGCCGACGTGGGCGAGCACATGGTCAGGGACAACGTGAGTGTGGGGCTGGGGGCTTGCTTACTGTGCGACACCCCTGCCGGTGGCAGGTGCCGGACGGCACGTCTGCCCGAGGGCACCGGCGAGGTCGGGGGCTGAGCCCGCGCTGGCACGCTGGCACACGGGCGCACTGGCAGTGGTTGCCTCAGCTGAGAGGCTCCTTAGGAGGGGGCGGCCCAGGGCCGTGAGGGATAGTCCGGGACAGCCGCCGCCTCTCTCCCCCGCAGCTCAAAGTGTGGATCTACCCTGAGGGCACGCGGAATGACAACGGGGACCTGCTGCCCTTCAAGAAAGGCGCCTTCTACCTGGCGATCCAGACCCAGGTGCGCTGGGGCACTGCCCTCCTAGCGGGGCGGGGAAGTGGATCCAGGTTGGCTTAAAGCCCAAGGTGACTGCCTGGCCAGGCTGGGGCCATTGGGGCTCGGGGACCACCGCCCACTGGGCAGGCACCAGGCCTCCTCACCCCTCAAGCAGCTGGCTTCTGGCTTGCTGGGGGGGCGCCCATCACCCACTCTGAGCACCAAGGCTAGTGCCGATGGGGCCCGCACCCAGTTTCAGTACCCACCTTGGTCGCTGGCGGGCAGGGCCCCAGGGGAGGCAGAGGCGGCAGGCCTACTTGCTGGGCTCTTCAGCAGGCCAAGCCTTTGCTGGGCCCTGCTGACTGTGGGTGGGGCTGATGAGCAGGGCCTGAGGCTGGGGGTGGGGTTGGGGGCCAGTGGCGCAGGCCCTGGACGACGGGCGACCTGGAACCCCACACTGGGCCCTTCAGCTTTACTCGTCCTTGAGCTCCAGGGCACGGTCTGCCCCAGGAGTGACCCCTGACGAGCTGGGGTGCCTCCAGCTCCGGGGCAGCGTCTCCTGGTGGGGCAAGGGTGGTCTGGCCCAGTTCGTGTAGGGGACAGTGGTCGTCTGCAGTCAGTGTCGGGGCTTCCGTGCTGCCTAGTCAGGGTCTGGGTGATGGCTGGGCAGGGTCTGCTCCTGGCACCCGCAGCCCCTGCACAGTGACCTCCAGCATCCCCTGGTGTCTGGCCCTGAGCAGCTAGCCCTCCTTGCAGAGGCTCCAGCTCAGGCCCCCGGGGTGGGGGGAGAAGCAGCCGGTGAATGGGGTGGAGGAGAAGCCCAGGCTTTGAGCTCAGCCCCGGGCCTGCGGCCCCTCCAGCTGGGAGGTGGAGGGCACCCCTGCCACACTCCTGGGGCTGATGTCCCTTCCCTTCGCTGCTGGCATGGGAGAGAGGACCTCGGGGGAGAGGGAAGAGGACGCCGAGGGGGCCCTGGTGAGGCTGGGCTAGTGCAGCCTCAGCTGGGAGATGGGACATGATTCCCTGTCCTCTCCGCTCCCCTCCCCCCGTCTCCTCCCAGGGCTTCCTGGCCTGCAGCCTACCTGTGCTCCAAGCCTGCGCCCTGCTGGTATCAGGGAGAGGCTCCCTGACCTCCAGAGTTAACCATGACCCCCAGGGGCCATTTCTGACCGTGCTATCTTCCAGCAACACCAGCAGAACCTGTCCCCTCCCCGGCGACAGCTGCCACCAGTCTCCCTAGGACGACCTCAATGACCTCCAGCTAAACTGTGCAGGGCCCTGCACCCCTGGGCAATCTTAGGACCCAGTGGGGGCACAGACGTGAATCGCAGGGACATGTGCCAGCCCAGGAAGGCTTCCTGGTGGAGAGAGTGCTTGAGTGACATGAGGGAGGGGTTTACGGAATGCTGGGGGCAGGGCCTGCTGGTATTCCTGGAAGCACCCTGGTCAGAAAGAGCCCCCGGGGTAATCATTAACAGGGCATGGAAGGACAGTGTCCCAGGCCACAGGGTCAGTGCCTGGAAGGGCCCTGAGGCACGTCACCTTGCCTGTTTTGCAGCCACAGGGACTCCTGGGATCTCCTTAGGCAGAAGGCAGGCAGGTGGCAAGGCTCCCCCCACTAGCTCATCCTGGGGCTCAGGGGGGCTGGGGGTGGGCTCCCGCGCGTCCTCAGGCACCATGGCTTGCTGTCTACAGGTGCCTATCATCCCTGTAATATACTCCAGCTTCTCCTCCTTCTACAACCCCAAGACGAAGCTCTTCACCTCAGGTATCAGCCCCCAACCTGCGTGCGCCCCCCCACCTGTGTGCCCCCCCGCCTGCGTGCCCACCCCCCACCTGCGCACAGCCTCGGGCGTGGCTCATTCTCAGTCCTTGGGACAGACACCCAGGCCCTTGGCGGGGTAGTTCCCGTTTCGGGGAGGCTGCTGTAGGTCAGTGATCCCTTGGTGAGGAGAGGAAGGAATCTGGAATTCCGAGGGGGTGGGTTCACACACACACACACACACACACAAGCTCAGGCCGCAAAGCAGCCTCCCAGGTGTCCTGACTATTCCTGCCCCCATCCCGTGCCCACCAGCCATGGAGCTCGGGGCCTCCCGAATGTGGGTGTCTGGTGCCTGGGCAGGAGGGGTGGAAGGTTGACGGGCGGGGGCCGGGAGGAGCTGGGCTGCGCCTCCCTCCCCCCGACATGGGAGACTCGGGGCCTGCCTAGACCAGGGTGGAGGATGGAAGTGGTGGGTGTGGAGCGCCCTGGAGGGGGTGGGGGCAACTTCAGGGGAGAGGAATGTTCTGGACCTCGGGCAGGGCTCCCGAGGGCACATGGTTGTGAGCACCTGCGGAGTGCGGGGTCCGGAGCTGCGGGTTTGCTTATACTGGTGACTCGCACTTGAAAACCAGCTGCCTGAGCCCAGGGTGTCCGGGAAAGACCCCAGCCCTGCCTTGGGCCCTCAGGAGGCTCCCCAGGGAGGCCAGTAGGTGGCCGAGGAGGAGGAAGAAGGGGGTTCAGCTGGCGCGGGATCGAGGACCGGCTGCAGCATGGGCCCCAGGTCGCTGATGCTGCTCCGCTCCTGACAGGAACCATCAAGGTGGAAGTGCTGGATGCCGTCCCCACCAGGGGCCTCACGGTGGCCGATGTCCCCAAGCTGATGGACGCCTGCCACCGGGCCATGAGGACCACCTTCCTCCGTGTGTCCAAGACACCCCAGGAGAATGGGGCAACCGCAGGGCCTGGTTCCCAGCCAGCCGAGTAGCTGAGGCCTGGGCTGGGGCAGGACCTGGCTGGAGACGGGACAGAGGGACGTCTTCCCTGCCCTGGTTGCTCAAGATCACTGTGTCCCCGAGGGTCCCCCCGCTTTCATTCAGGGCTCTGGATGCTGGAGGCTGCCTCCTGTAGTTGGCCTCGGATCCAGGTCTTTGATGTCTCCCCAAAAGGAGAGTTGGCTGGAAGCTCCCCAGGAAGCCCACGCTGGTGCCTCCTGGACGCGGGAGCAGGCTGGGGACCAGCTGGGCGGACAGGCAGGGCTGAGCTGCACGGCCTCGGGAGACGCTGCACCCTCCTGCCTGAGCCTGCGGGGCGCAGAGGCAGGCTGGGTGGCCCCCACAGCCCTCTGGGAGAAACGGGACTCTGCGGGGGGTGGCCAGACCCCCAGTCTCATGCAGCCTGGGCCTCAGAGCCACGGAGCAGAGATCCCTGCTCCACAGGCCTTGGGAGCAAGCTGCCCAGTGGGCACTGCACTCCGTCCAGGTTTTTTAATAAACCAACTCTTGGAAACATCTGGTAAGTTGTGGTCACTCAGGGTGGCGGGCACGCTGGGGGTCTGGGGAAGGAGGAGACAGGTTTGCTCTTTGGCTGCCGGCAGGGGGGGAGGGGGGCTAGTGGAGCGAGATTGTCACCGAGAAGCCATTGTCATTTTCCCAGAAAGCACTGGCTGTAGCCCCTTTGGGAGAGGGGAACCAAGACCCCATGCCGCAGGAAGGCCCGGTGTGGCTGGAGCCCCTTCTGTGCCCCACGGCTGCCCCTTTGCCCTCCTGACAGCCAACGGCCGGCCCCCCATCAGAATGCCCTCCAGAACCCACCAAGGACACAGCAGCTCCTGAACCTCGTTTTATTTTGACACAGATGAGCAGTCCCCCAATACGCTGCCCAGCGAGCGAGACCCTCATGCCTCCCCAACCCCAGCCACGGGCCTGCTCCCTGCTGCTGGCACGGCTGCGGCAGGATCACACCGAGGAGGACCCCTCCTCCCACCCTGCCTTGGCTCGAAACCCCCCTCCTGCCTGACTTAGCACAGCGGGCGAGGCTCTCAGTAGCCAGAGCCAAGGACGCGGGCCACCTGTCACAGCTCCTCCTTGCAGGAACCTGCGGACAGATGAAGGGCTGAGGTCAGGGGTCACCGTTCCCCACCGCCTTCCCCCACTCCAGGCAGATCCGCTCCCTCAGACTATGGCTGCCCTGCCCCAGTCTCTGGTCTCTGTGGGCACAGGCTGGGCGCAGGTCCCATGCTCCCGGGGAGCTCTGTGGGGAGGGGGTGGCACTCACAGGACCCCAGCTGCTCCTCCAGGAAGGAGATCTGCTCGCTCAGAGAGTCGATGCGGTCCAGCTGCTGGAAGGAGTGAGCCAGAAGGCTGCTGGGGTCTGGGAGCCCATGCTCCAGGGCCCTCGAGGCCAGGCTGTGCAGTGGGGCAAGCACGAGCTGCAGCTTCTGTGGGCCAAGCAGAAGAGACCCTCTGTCCCACAAGGCTTTTAGGGACCTCTGTGGCCAGTAAAGGCTCTGCAGGGCCCTGGATGTCCACCAGAGGGAGCGTCTGTGCCAGGAGAGCCAGATGCATGGACACCTTGGGAGCCCGAGGGGCAGTGGTCTCCAAAGCCTGGAGTCCCGGGTCAGAGGAGCTGGGGCGGGGCGGGGGGGGCTGTGCTAGAGCTTCCAAGGGGTTATCAGGCCAATGGCCCCCTGGGCTGCAGGAACAAAGGTAGGGGTAGGAATTCTGTGCTGCTGGGGGTGGAGGCACGGCCAAGCCAAGCCCCTCCTCTTCTGGGGCCCCCAGGCCTGCTCGCCCTGCCTGGCCTGGGCTGTCAGTACCCAGGAGGCCTTCTTCCCGGGGCCACCCCCACGGAGCCCCACAACCCCTGAGGGCCTGAGCTGCACCACAGGAGACAGTGTGGGGCCAGGCCTCACCTGCTCCAGGATGTCCACCCGTGACCGGAGTCTCTGCACTTCCTCCTCGACGGCGCTGTCCTCGCCTGGGGAGAACCCAGCCCTGAGTCAGGCAGGCCGGGCTCCCAGGCCCACACCCCAGGCTGGCTTCTGGTCCCCATGCCGAGGCCTCTCGGCCTCGCAGAGTGTGGCGGCATAGCCCTGGAGAGGGGGCAGATGGGGCTCAAGCCCTTCCCCCATCCTAGGCAGCTGGGGCAGCCTGAAATCTGGGGGGTGGCCCAGCCCCGTTAGCACCCCAGGCAGCTGTGCCCTGCCCCTCTGCACCAGGGTCCCTGCCACGCTTAGCCGTCCAAGCCGAGGTCCATGGAGCGCTCCTGGTGCCGAGCTGCCGACGGCGCATTATTACTCACGGTACGAGTTTGAAGCGTCACAGCGCGTACCAAAAGTAATAATGTCCCGTCGCCAGCAGAAGTGTGGCGCCTCCTGGCTGCGGCGGCGGGATGTGGAGAAGACCCCGGGGCGCCGTCTTCTACTCTCTCGGCTGAGATGAGGCCCCCTCTCGGCAACCCTCCCCACAGTGCTCCCCAGGAATCACCCCCACCTCTGCCCTGGGGAACATCTCCACTTCTGCCCAGGTTGGGGAGATGGCCAGCAGCCCAGGGCAGATGGCCCCCCGCAGTCCCCAGTGTGCCCAGTGCCAATTGGCAGGATGAGGCCCACCCCCTCCCCCCGCCCTCCCCGACCCCTTCTAAGCAGAGCAGCAAGGATGGGGGACACCTGGGAAGTTTACCTGTTGTGGGGTTCGGGGCTACCCTGGGGGCCCCTGTCTTGGGCAGGCAGAGCACGCCATCTGCAGACCGGCCGTGCCCTTCCCGACACCGACACCAGTAACTGCCCGCAGTGTTGACGCAGTACTGGGGACAGGTACCCTGTCCAGCCCTGCACTCATCCACATCTGCAGGAAAAGGGGCGTCCGCAGGGAGTGGCACCCACACCGATCCGCCTCAACCCGGACCTGTTCGTGGGCCACCCCCGAAGCCCGGCGAGGGCCCCAGAGGACCCTTCCCCTCCGGGAGGACGGCAAGCAGCCTCACCTGTCTGGCAGGTGTCACCCTGCCATCCTGCAGGGCAGTGACAGCGGCCTGGCTGGACGCAGGTCCCTCCATTCTGGCACGGTGGCCGGCATATCGCTGTCGAGGGGAGGGCCCGTCACAAATGGAGGGAGGTCCCCAGGGCGCCACAGGGGGGCAGCCAGGGAAGGGGGGCTATACAGCAAGGAGGCAATCTGCTCAGATGGAAGTAGCAGGTGCTCCGCCTGGGTCTGCGGGGCCCCGGGGACAGCCGTGCCCCTCTCACCTGCTCCGCAGGCCCTGGGGAGCCCGCTGGTCCTCTTCCAGCCCGGGCAGCAGGCGTAGCGGGGCCTGGGGACAGCCGGCCCAGGGCTGCGGCGGTAGGCAGTCCTGTAGATGGTCCTGAGCGGTGGGTGGGAACGGCGAGTCAGTGGCAGCACTGTGGTCTCCCAGGTTCTCCACCCCGCCTTTCCTCCCTGGGCGCTGGGCCCATGGATGCTAAGGATGCCCCCTACCAGCACGGCTCAAACCACAGCCTCAGAGTCCCAGACTCCTGGGCCCTCCCTTCAGCAGGTGGGGAAGGGGGACGCTCACCAACGGGCCCCTCCTAGGCCAGCCAGCTCAGTGAAAGGGACAGGGAGCAGGGCCCCGCCCCTCACTGGGCCCCACCCACACTACTCCCACCTTCTTGGTCAGTGGGGGGGGTGGGATGTCCCACAGGAAGGGCTTTGAGAACCCCACAGACCACAGACAGCGGAATCTCCTTAAGCCGCATTTCCACAGCTGAGCACCGGAGGACACACCCCTTGTGCAGGAGGTCAGCCAGGGGGGTGACCGTCGGGGGCCGTCACGGGGAGAGGGGTGCCCACCGGAGCTCGAGGCAGGATTTGGCGAGGCAGGCATCATGTCAAATGGATAAGAACTTGTAGCCAGCACCCCAAAAGCAGAGGGCAGCAGACAGGATGGTGAGCCCCCCAGAGACGAGGGTGGGGGAGCAGAAAAGGGGCTGATGTCTGAGGTTACTATGGCCACATCCTGAGACCAAGACTGCCCGAGTCAAAACAGGCATCAGCCTCGGCCATCCACTGGGACGTGGGGCCAGGCTTCCCACCTGGGGTTGCATAGCCCTCCTGCGAGGGCCTGGGAGGGGGGGGGGCGTATTGATGTGTGGCGGGTGGGGGCACTGCGGGGGCAGGGCGCTCACCTGTAGGTGCTGCAGGCTCGGTGCCCGTCACAGGTGGTGAGGAAGGGCTGGTACACTCGCTGCACGAAGGACTCTGACTCAGGGCCCCTGGGAGCCCCGACGGCACACACCCTGCGGCTACGGAGATGAGGGCGCCGGCCAGTCAGTCCCACAGCTCCCAGCCCAGAGCCCAGAGCCTTCCAGCCCCGGAACCAAGGGAGCCAAGAATCTGGGGAAGGGGCTTCCCAGCGTGCCCACGGGAAGGACCCTCATCAAGAGTGACAAGGAAGAGCCATGCCCCCCACCCCAGTACTGGGGGTTGCCCTGAGGGCTCCTGGCTGCCCGCCCTCAGCACCGCAGCACCCAGAGGCCCAGGCCCCCCCCACTCTGACTCACCCAGGCCGGAAGACGTGCTCAGTGCCACCCACCACCAGCACCAGGAACCACAGCAGCAGCAGCTCCCTGGGGCTGAACATGGCCCGCGCCTGCGGGTGGGATGGCTTTCTCCTCAAGGGGGCCTGGAGCACAAGGCATACCCCATAAACCCCTCTGTAGATCCCTCCTAGAGCCCGTTCCCTGGCTCTGGGACACCTGCCCAGCTCAGCCGCTTTGCTGGGACTTCCCACTGCAGGAGAGCCCCCAGGGGCAGCGGCAGCGGCAGCTGCCCCCTCCTCCCACCCACCTCAGCGAGGCAGGCCAGCCCTCTCCCCAGCACAAAGGGCTGGGAACTATAGAAGGGCCCCGAGGGCAGCAACAGAAGCCGGCCCTCTTTCCTGGGGCCAGAGGCGTCTCGGTCTGGGTGAACCTGATGGCAGCTGCAGCTCCAGCAACGTTCACTTAGGAAGGTGGGGGCCCAGGGGGAGCACCTGGGCTGGATCTAGTGCCCTCGTGTCATGGCAGGGGAGTCCCCATCCCAGTCTGCAGACGGGGTGGGAGTGGGCAGAGCTGGAACCCAGCCCGGCTGGCTTGGTCCTTCTGGCCTTCAATGTCCTCACCTGCCGAATGGGGAGCCAGCCACGGGGGGTGGCCTGGGAGTCTAGGAGGGGTCAGTGTGAGGAGCCATATGGCCCTACACAGAGTGGGGCAGAGCCTGCGTGGGAGGGGGCACTCCTGCCCTGGAGTCTGACCAGTCTGCTCCAGGGCTCCCAGGACAGTTGTGGGGTGGGGGGGGGAGACTGGAGCTGCCCTCCCCACAGGCCAATGGAGCCAAATGCCATCCTTCTCTTCTGGGGAGGGACGCCAAGGACCCGGGAGAGCATTCCTGGGAATGTGAGAAAGCCCAACCCAGAATTAATGGTCTGCAACGAGCCCAGGGGCCTGTGTGGTGGTGGGGAGGGGGCGGCTGTCCACATGTGCGGCAAGCACCCGGGTAGACGGGGCCCTCCAGACACCCCACCAAGACCCCCAAGGGGCTGGGTTCTGGCCAGGCGGGCAGCCCCTGGCCCTGCAGGGCATCCAGCAAGAAGGACATGGAAGATATCTGGACTTCTGTGTGGCAGGAGGTGGAATCAGGGTGGGGTCACCCCCTTCTCTGGGACTCAGTTTCCTCAAAGACACCACGAGGGTCTCAGAGACCCCTCCTCTACCTGACAGCTGGCCCCATACGGAGTGACCACCATGAGCCGCTGCTGAGTGCTCAGGCCTGCCAAGCTTGACCGCATGGGGAGAGTGATGCTGTGACAGGTCACACGGTCTGCTGGGAGTGGAGCCCTCGCCCTGGCCCACAGCAGCCCATAGACCCAGGTGAGGCAGAAGGCAGCTGGAGGAGAGTCCTTTCCGCACCCCCTGTTCTCTGTGGGGGCCCAAGAAGGGAAGCCACGGTGTTGGGACTTAGTTTGGGGCAAGGTCATGTCCTGTGAGCCAGTGTGGGAAGAGGAACTCTGGGAGTGGACAGTGGGGGAGCACACTCTTGTGGGCATTCCTGGGGGTCTAGGCAAGAATTGAAAGGATGGGAACAAGTGGGCCCCAGGAGCTGGCCCTGGGAAAGCAGAGGTGGCTGCAGGGCCCAGAGGCTGGGCAGGCGCACACGAGGGTCCCATGGAGGCTGTGCCTGCCTGCCCGAGGTAGGGGGAGACTTGCCTCCTGCAGATGTAACTGGGTCCCCCATTCCCACCCCAGCCCCGCCCCCACTCACTGACAGCCGCTTAGAAGTGGCCCGCGCTTGTGACAGAGGAGAGTCAATTCTCCAAGTCAGGCTTTCTCCTGGGCCCCGGAGGCCGCCGGCCAGCCTGCGCTGGGCCACAGTCTCATTTCCCTTTGCAGCCCATCTGGGGCGGGGGAGCCCGAGCGGGGGCGGCTGCGGCGTCTCAGGTGGATGAGCGGTCACATCCCGCCCTCCCCGAGGGTCAGCAGCAACCCAGCCCGCCCCCCTCCCGCCCACCTGCCCGAGCCGCGTCCCCCGCAGCGCCCACCGGGAGGGCTGAGGCCGCAGAGGGAGGGGCCGGCCTCGCCGCAGAGCGGCGCCCGGGGGGCCCCCCTTCCGCCGGGAGGGCTGCCCTGGACGTTAGGACCCTGGGAGGGCGGAAAGGCGGGGTGACAGGCCATGGGGAAGCGTCCTCCCCGCCGCCGGCCCCAGCTCCCCTCCCCCTGCGCGGCAGACCGCGGGGTGGGGGTGAGGATGGAGAGAGGCGCGGGGTCTGGGGCCTGCGAGGCCCTGAGGCAGGCCCTGCGGGGACGCTCAGAGCCCGACGCGGGTGAGGGGCTGCGGCGTCCCCCGGCCCCGACCGCCCCCGCCCCCCGCGCGGCCCCGCTCGTCGCCTGCTACCGGCAGGGGGCGCCCTTCCCGGAGACCGCTGGGCCCATTCTCCGGACCCGGCACACCGCCCGGCAGGGCTGGGGGTCGCGCCCCCGCGCCGCAGCCCCGGCGCCCCCGGCCCGCTCACCTCTCGGCTCCCCGCGGTCGCGCTGCGTCGCCCCCCGGCTCCGCGCGCGCCCGGGCCCCCGGCCTCCCCCGCCCCAGCGCGCGGCGAGAGAACCCCGCCCTCGGCGCCCCCGCGCCCCCTGCACCCCCCGGCCCGGCGCCCGCTCCCTCCGCACTCACCGCCCG